CTCCCCGGCCTGGACTTGAATTGTTTCCCCTTTCCCTTTCACTACCCTGAACAAAAGCACGCCGCGCCAGCACAACGCCAAGTGGCGTCCAGCCCGCCCCAAAAGCAGCCCGCCCCAGCAGCCAGGGGCAGCTGAGGCCTTTCTCTGTAAAAAATGCCTTCTTCTCTTGAACGGTCATTGAATCGAGCTTCCGGATACTGACGAATACTGCCCCAATCCTAATAATAATCTCAAGTAGGCCTACAATTAACTAATATTTTTATAAAAACCTTTTTGTATCTAAAGAAGATGAATTTGGTGGTACGATGAGCAATAGTCCTCCAAAGTTGACTGTGCAGATGAGCCGCAAAGCAGATACGCCAGTGATGACCGTACCTTCCCAGATCCGCCAGTGTTGGCCGGGATGAAGTTGCCCGATAAGAGGAACAGAAAGAAGTTAAGGTGGATTTAGTCTCGTGAGGACTGAGGACTGAAGACGCGTAGTTGTCAACTGTTTTGCTGCAAATAATCGTAATTTTGGCCTATTTGCAGCAAAACAGTTGACAACTACGCGTCTTCAGTCCTCAGTCCTCACGAGACTAAATCCACCTTTATACGAACAGCGTTACGATAACGCCGTTACGTTGCCAACATAACCGACGTCGAGTCCTTTGGTCTGGCTCCGTGCAGATATTGCAGAGGCATGGACGCGATGCTATGATGCTGTTAGCGGTCAGAGCCATCATCAACCGCATTAATTATTGAATGAATAATTTAACAAGCAAAGCACTCGTTTGAATCGGATGGGAATCTCCCATCTCATCCTCTAACACAGTTTCCTCAGAGGTTTGCATTCGGCCGACAAGACAAGTAAAGTGTGCCGCTATCCCACTACGACATGTCACATATGGTCCTTCCCCGGCGGCGCAGATATGGCGGCGCGGCGGCGGCCACGAACAACGGCACCGCGTGCTGTTAAATGGAGACCACCCGTTCGTTTTCGTTCACGAGGCCAGTTGGGAATAATTTTTAAGGGCATTCGCGGCCAGTAATTACTCGATTTGGTGTCGGGTGTCATGTGTTGGGCAGGCAGAGCGTGCGCCGCTATCAGCATCACTCTTTCTCTGATCATCCTCGCCATCTCAGGCCTGTTTTACATGTTTCTCGCCATGGACCGAGCTGACCGAGCTGTTAAAGACTCGTCGTCGCCGCACCGGTAACGTGTTGCAATAGAACGCGCAACTTTCGATCGAGCATCGAGGGACCTTCATTTGAGAGGTTAGTGGTGGTTTTAGTGGTGGTTTACCGCGTACATTCCTCCCTGGCCTTCCATTTTCCCTAACCAAACAACAGTTTTGACCCGTTTGAAAATCGAACTTAGCAGGTCTAGCCTTTGGATCCCAATTTGTTTCGAGCATTTTAAGATTATGAATTTCTCATTTGCCACTTGCCTGTTGCAGTTGTGGTGGAGGCAGCGACGGCGACAGTCCGGCTCCCGGGAGCAGTGTTGCAGCGGTAGTTGTGGTCGCTCGTCATCGCGCATCGCGCAGCACTTTGGCAAAGACTTTGTATTTGAAATTGAGAAGTTGCATCATTATTGTGTTGTTTCTTCAAGTACATGCGCACTTGCAGGTACTTATTACTCTTGATATTTCCCGTAGTTTTCCTGATCATCTGTGTGTGGTGGCTAATTTTTAAGATTTCATGTCGTCTGCTACACTGAAACTCGTTTGAAAGGTTAACCTTTAAAGGCGTTGTGTGCTTCAAGGCTGATTATCAAGGCTCTACACCTACGCAGTGTTATTCCTGAAATATTTTTAACTTGGCTGGGTTGTTTGTGTTGTGAGTCGGCCCGGGCGACGAGGAGAGGTGAACTTTTGTTGACTACCTTAATCTTCATCTCTGTATTTCGCCTGTAACTTTATCAAACAAGTCAAGTCAAAAGCAATATTTCTACAAATGTTGTGGATTTTTTAACAAAATTATTTGTTAAAAGGTATCTGGTGAAGGTGACATATAGAATGGTGGTTGTTTTTGCCTAGTTCCGTAAATGTTACTAAGTGTCAAATGTCTTAAAATATCAGTTTGTAATGAGGTATTTTCCGAATCAGAAGAACAAGTACATTTCCATGAAGTCGAAACAATAAATTTTGGTTTCTTGTTTGTAATATGTGACTTCATGATTGCTTACTCTGTAGATTTCTGTTGCATTCAACTTCACTAACTTTTCTTTCTTAATTTACATTCAGGATGAAGTTTGCATCCCCTAATTGTGAAACCATTTGCTGACAATAAACAGCAACAATATGGTTCTTTTGGGACGGCCGTTGTTGCTTATCCCCAAGGGCCTTCGTTATGTTTCACCATTACCTTGTAGACTGCACCTCTATGCACCGTGTGCTTCTCCCACTGGGGTGAAAACTAAAACAACATCTCCTAAAGCCATAGTAAGTTAATTATTACTTTTACAATTGTTGACACTTTCAAAGCTACAACCAATGTTTTGCTACAGGTCACACCTATTTTTCGAAATGCTCCCCTGTTTGGAGATAGAACTGCCCTACGGGATCGTCATGGGTATTATACATATATGGGGCTATTCCTCAGTAGTCGACAGCTAGCCCATCAAATCACTGAAGTATTGAAAGGAAAAGAGCAACAGAGGGTAGCTTTCCTGTGTCCCAATGATGCATCATATGTCATTACACAGTGGGCCTGTTGGATGAGTGGACAAATTGGTAGACAATTCTTACTAATTTTATTCTAGTTTATGATTGTACTCAAGCTATTCTTTTTCTCATCAAACTCATTTTCTCTAGTTGTCCCATTAAGTCCCCTGCATCCTGAATCATCACTGAAATATTTCATCACGGACAGTGATGCATCTCTACTCTTAACTACCAATGAACTGGCTCCTCAGCTGGCAGGCATAGCCCAAAGTTCTGGTCGTCAGCTAGTTGTACTTGATGACGCGTTAAGAACACTGGCAATGAAACCAGAAATAAAAGTTGATCCTAGTCAGGTTGATTTAGTACAGCCTGGTAGGTTAAAATGTTCCTTTAAATGTTTATATTGAAATGTGGTTCATTATCATTTAATAAAACAATTTTTGTGCAGCTGAACCTTCTTCAGATGTCAATGCAGGCTTGGTAGATGAATTTTATGCAGACAGCAATGCTATGATAATTTATACCTCTGGAACCACAAGTAATCCAAAAGGTAAGTTAAATATATTTGTTGTTTTTTTTTTTTGTTTTTTTTTCATTTTTGTAGTTTCTTGGTATCTCATAAATTTATTTGTTTTAGGTGTTGTCTTGAGTTACCGAAATTTGGATGCTCAAATTCAATCACTTATTGAAGCATGGAACATCACCAGTAAGGATAATATTTTGCACACACTTCCTCTTCATCACATCCATGGCATTGTTAATGGAATGATGTGTCCCCTTACTGTGGGTGGACGGTAAGTGTCATATTTCAATGCCCATTATTAAAGTAGTACTATTGTCTCTAGTCACAACTGTCTTCTTTCTGTTCATAGATGTACCATGTTGCCAAACTTTTCATCTTCCCAAGTCTGGTCTCAATTACTAGCAATTCGAATGAAGGCTGCTGACCGTGTTAATGTATTCATGGGAGTTCCTACAAGTTATGTTAAACTATTAGAAGAATATGAGCTAATATTCAGCAAGAATGAAAAAATGCGAGAATACATCAAGAAAATCTTATCTGAAAAAATTAGGTATGCACAGTATGTCAATGAAACTTTTGTTAAAAAAAACTTTGTGGCATGAAAAATATTTGACCTACCTATTTTTGTATGTTATTCTTTTATGTTACAGACTGATGACCTCAGGGTCAGCGCCTTTACCAACCACAGTGTTTGAGGGATGGGAAAAAATTTCTGGTCATAGGCTATTGGAAAGATTTGGCATGAGTGAAGTAGGAATGGCTCTTTCAAATCCTCTAAATCCTCCCTCTGAGAGGAGACCAGGCTTTGTAGGAACACCTTTACCAGGCAATAAAGTACGAATTGTGAGAACTGAGAAAAGTGAGCAAAACCTAAATGAAGTTAAAGAAGAAGTTTTATGCGAAGGTGATATGAATGGTACTAAAGTTCTCGTCAATGATGGTGAGCCAACCATTGGTCATCTGCATGTAAAGGGACCAAATGTCTTTGAGGGGTATTGGAGGAAGCCAGAAACTACTACTAAAGAATTTGCAGCAGACAGGTGGTTCAAGACAGGCAAGTAAAGGAAAATAATAATATAAGCTAAGCTAATTGAAATTTAGTGAAAATAGAGTGTGTTTAATATTTCACTTTTTTGCATTTACTAGGTGATACAGCACAGTATGTGGATGGATCTTACAAAATTTTAGGAAGAACATCAATTGACATTTTAAAAACTGGCGGCTACAAAGTGAGTGCTGTGGAAGTAGAAACAGCTCTCCTCAGTCACCCTGACATTATTGATTGCTCTGTGGTAGGCCTGCCAGACGCCACCTGGGGGCAGAAGGTAATAGAATTCATTAAATCTAATAACTGGATTTGTAATCCATACTGACTTTCAAGCCTCTATTGAAGATTTGTCTCCATCAATACCCTTTTTTTTTTTGTCTTCAGGTAGCAGCTGTTGTTGTTACTCGCCCAGGTGCTGAAATTCTTCTGTCTCAAGTAAGAGAGTGGAGTAGAGATAAGCTTCCACCATATGCTATTCCAACTGTGTTACGAGTACTTGACAAAATTCCACGTAATGCATTAGGCAAGGTAAACAAGGCTAATATGGTGAAAGAAGTTTTCCCTATTTCTGACAGCAAATCCGCACAGTAAATGAATATCCTAAACTCTCAAGGTCTAAATTCCATTGACTACTGCCTTCTCTTCAATGCAACTGCGTGTGTCTAACTTTTGCCAGTATTTTTCATCTGCTCTGTTGAACCTTCAGTTTTCATGAATTTTGCAAGATAATTAAATTAAATACTGCATTCAACCTCAAAAGGAAACCAGTACGTGTTCATGTTCACTGTTTGAAGAGGCTATTTTATGAGGAGGGTGCTGTAATAGTCGTTATAAGCTTTAATAATGGGTGGGGTAATTAAAATTCCTTATGTGTTAAGATAATGTATCCATGTGTTTGGTATTCCTTACTACTTCCTGGGAAAGTCTCTCAATACCATAAGTGTTACATATTTCCTTGTATAAAATATATGCAGACTTCTTTATAGTATGGCACTACTGCTTTAATGGATTGTTACATAATTTATGTACCCTTTCAGCCGAGTCAGCAATCCATGCAATGAGAAGGCATCCACTTTTCTATGTTTTATTTTACTTCTAATGAGCGGCACTTGTTATTAAATGTTGTTTTTTTGGTTGAATATACCGTTAGCCTTCAAAGAGAAATAAAACATTTTTTAAAGAATCACAGATTTTAATTAAAATTTGACTTATGAATTAACATTGAGGTTCATGACAAAAGAAACAGAATTGTAAAGTACACATTTTGATAAGAGTCGGCACATTTATTTTAAGTGAAAAAATATAATACAATAAATATGTGAACTTGTTCAATTCAATAGGTAACATAAGAAATTTCAATGCACGTACAACCCTTGCTCATTTTTTCCCCTACTGGTAATTAACAATGTCCATCTTTGATGTTCAAGTCTATTACAATCCATCTTTCTAGATATGATTGAGCAAATGTTCATTTCATACTGTGCCAGGTATTGACTATCCACCTCTTCTCATAACAGATCCATAGGTCTAGAGGTTTCTTCCAGAAGTACAATTTAATTTCTACATTGTTTGGAAAAATTGAAATTTCCTTATGCAAAGATCACAGAGAGCTGTACAGGAGAGTAAGTACAAAAATAAACAGCTCAATAACCAGCACCAATCATCCATCACACAACTGCGAATTATTCTACCTAAAAATAAGGTAAATACTTCAGAAAGAAAAACATAATTACAAAAGTAAACTTGAATGGAAAGGCACATTTTAATTAGGAGATTCGAATAATCGAAATTTGTTAAGTACCATTGCCATAAGGTGGAGCCCCTATCATTTGATGATAATACCAACTCAACTGATTGAGTTAGGACTTATGATCTCTTACTTTCTGAAATTAATTTTCCTACTGATTTCTTTTGTAATAATGAAATTAACATTAAAACTGCTGAGCTGTAATTCCTCTAATACTTGAAGACAAATAACACTTTCACTGGTCACAATTGGCCAGGTAACGAAAATGAAAGTTCTTCCTGTAGTTCCATATTTACACACAAAAAAAGGGGAAAGTATTAACTGATGTGATGCAGTTTTGTGAAGACAAAAATCATCTTTGAATCACAAAATCTTTTTTGTCCCTTGACTGTGCGGTGCAGCCTCACTGGATGTCCTCTCATGAAGAAGATACCTAAAGCTTCAAAACCTCCTTAAAATGAAGAAGTAATTTTATTTAAATTTGCTCTCTAAAACCGTATTTTGTTTGTAATTATATCTTGATAAAGAGCATGGGTCAATGCAACAAACTTGTTTGAGCTTCCATCAAAGAAATAAAGAGCATCTTTAATTTTATCAGGATCATAAGAATCATTTAATAGATCCTTCTTCTTGAGCTTAAAGGTTCCTAGAACAAGAGAAAAAAAAATGTTTTAATTAACTAATTTAGAGAGCCATTAAAGTTTGTATTAGAATGGTACTGACCTGTCATAGGTAATGACTTCATAACTCTAAGGAAGAGGGGTCTTGCATACACAGGAAGAGATTTGCGCATTCCATCTACAAGTGCATCTAAATCCAATTTACTATCTGGGTCTACAATGGCAGCCATTCCAGCTCTTCCCTCTACATTAGGAATCTGAAGTTTTCAAGAAGCCACAGTGAAACAATGAAAAGTAGACCTTAAAGATAATGATAACAAGACTATATCAGAGTACTTACTTCTACACCATACACTACAGCATCACTCATTCCAGCTACATTACTGATAACTGCCTCAACTTCCGATGTCGCCACATTTTCTCCTCGCCATCTGATTAAAGACATCAAAACATTTGTGAGCAAACTGGTAATTGTTCTTACAGAACAAGATGATCACTTCGAAAGTTCTTGTATATGATATTCTCTCTTACCTAAAGGTGTCACCTGTTCGATCCTTGAAGTAAAAGTACCCAAATTCGTCCATGACTAGAATATCACCTAAAAGTTCAAAAATCGACATGAAACTTAAAAGAAAATAAGCATGAACATTATCACTACACACAAAAACACCAAGACATACCAGAATTGAATGCTGAATCTCCTTTAATAAAGACATCACGGATTACTTTCTTTTCAGATGCTTTCTTGTCAGCATATCCACTGAATGCACTGTGAGCCTTCTTAGGATTAATTTTGCCAACAAATACTCCAGTCTGGCCTAAAATTAATTAAAAATATGATGTAAATCAAAACAACCAGTTTATTGGTATTTTACACTTCTAGAGAGCAGACATTACCTGGCTCACAAATCTGGCAGAGTCCATCGGGCCCACGTATGGGTTCACCTGTGTCATCATCAGCACGAACAAGGGAAACAGGGTAAACTGCGCCCGCATACCTTGGCACAAAGCCAACAGCTCCGATTTTGCTATCGATGTTAACTGGAAAAAATATTTAGCGCAATGTTACAATTTTCACTTAGATTTAACCTTTAGTAGCTTTTTTAGAATAGCCTACTTACTAATGTTTGAGTTACTTTCAGTGGCACCATAAAATTCACCAACTTGAGGAATATTAAACCTCTCACAAAATTGGGCCCAGATAGCGGGTCTCAATCCATTTCCAACAACTACGCGAACCTTGTGCTGTTTTTCTTCAGGCTGTTCAGGAACTGTCAAAAGGTATCGACACATTTCTCCAATATATTGAGCTACCTAAAAAAAAAAGAAAAAAAGAATTGAAAAACAACTTTAAAGAAAACAAAAAATAAAACTTTTGTACTGTTTTCAATAATTTTTGGAAACAAAACTAACTGTGCACTTGAATTGGCAGCAATCCTTCCAGAAATTAGAAGCAGAGAACTTCCTACGAATTGCCACAGTATTTCCTGTGAGTACTGCTTGACCAATACCCAGTATTCCTCCAGCAGTGTGGTACAATGGCAGTGGGTCGTAAATCACATCATCATCCTTGAAGTTAAGCATGACATGCACCGCAACTGCCATAAACTGGAACCTATAACAGAACAATGTTAAGGGTCAATATGCAAAAACCACTTTTATAGAAAGTTTTGGCAAATTTAAATACTTTTTTAAATACCTAATGTGATTGATGATTGCCGCCTTAGGGAGACCAGTTGTTCCAGATGTGTAGATATAAAACAAATGATCAAGGTTTTTAGTTTGGGCCATGTCTTCCTTGAGAGATGTGGCAGGAGTGTCCCACAGTTTCATTCTTAAGTCGACAACACCGGGCAGCAGTTTTGAGGCTTCTTCAGCCTTGGGCGGGGCATTCTTTGGTACATCAGCGTATTGGAAGACTGGAATATTGTTCAACTTGGGACGAACCTCCTGCAAAGCTGAGCATCCACAGACATACACATTACAATCTTTCATTCTTTGAAGCAGTACGAAAAGCCATGAATCTGTCCTCCTCACTCGGATAGATGTTCAACTTGCTTTTTGTTCTGCTTCGGGGAAGGCTGTAGCCGGGACGGTCATCTCCAAAGCCTCATACCATACCTGATGCCAGCTCCGAGCCAACGATGACCGCTTTGGCGCCAGCTACGGTGATGGAGTGGACGAGGGGTTCCAACCTCAGGTTGTAGTTGATGAGTGCAGAGGTGGCGCCGATCTTAGCCAGCCCCATCCACATGCAGACGAAGTCTGGGCGTGACTCCATGATGATGGCCACCGTATCCCCTTTCCGGATACCCTGCGACTTCATAAAGTTGCCCACCCGGTTGCTCAAGTCGTCCACCTCGCCGAACGTCCAAGACTGGCCCTCGAACGCGAAGGCGACCTTGTTCTTGTTCTTCTGGGCGACGGACGAGAAGATGAGCGGGATGGTGGGAAGTCCCTGCCTCTCCCACTTCCACAGTGTGTAGTGCATCCTGAGGAAGCGCACCGCGGCACTAAAACAGACAAGCACCAATGGCATGAGAACACTTGCCCTTCCAGACGAGACGAATGAGGCTGGGCGCCCAGACCCGGACCACATCTCAGCATCGCATAAAAATGTTGCCTGTGTGGTAGGGGGATGGGGGTGCCTGTGCAATAGGCAGACCTGCAACGCACCATGGCAAAAAAAAAAGTTGACTAGATGGTAGGCGGGGTACACAGGCGCGGTATAAGGGGGGGGGGGGGGGGCACCCCCCCCATCGGCTCTAGTGAGCCGCCTGAAAGGTAGGCACTTTGTGCTACAAAACCCCTGTATGTAGGCAACCCACGGTGAATTCCCCCCCCCCCTGTCGCCCCCTTCTTATACAGCGCCTGGGGGTACAGCGCGCTGCTTTTCCAAGGGAAAGTCACGAGGTTAAATTCTCGAGGAGCAGTAGTTGCAGACGGAACACAATCTATGTGCCAGTCAAAGCACGCGGGCCACCCAATGACATAAGTTGACAGGTGAAGGACACACTGGGTTGCAGGAGAGCCGAGAACGGACCTGTGTGCGGGGCGCGGGAGACTCGCCAGACGCGGGAGGGAAGGACGGATACAAAGTCATAAGCAAAGTGACTTTGAGTGCAGTTTGAAGAACACTTGCGGTAAGAACAAGACTAGGGAGTACAGTGTCCTGAAAGAAAGACGAGAGAGGCAGGCGAGGAGTGCAAAGTATTAATATTTAAAAGCCGGTTAACACGGGGTCGCGCCTTCGAAAAAGAAAAGAAAGAAAAAATAAACGTCGGTGGAGAGAATTACTAGCAAAGTGCGTCGGCAAATTGATCGATGCGCACTCCATCACCTCTCCACGAGGCGTAGAGTTGGGTGCTTCACAAGAGGCTGAGCGGTAATCAGACCTGCACGGCACATAGTCACAGTGGTGACTTCCACTTAACAAGGGGGGTTTACGACTGCTTGTCTTGTCTAGCAGACCTCTACGAATCGCAATCGCGCAGATCCACTGCCCGCCTGCGACGGCGACTTGAACGCTCGGGCTCTATCGGCTCGATGCTGCTAGCGGCTTGCAGCTAGCCCAACCCGCAGGGACCGACTCTGCCATGCTCTTCCTCCCCCATCCAGACACTACGCCCGCCGCCCACCGGACAAGAAGGGACAAGAAGCCACACGGCCAGTGCAGAAGAAAGAGAGAGAGAGAGAACAGAAATACATAATGGAATTGCGGGAGACGACAACAACAACAACTTCCAATCGTGACGTGGACCACGACCGTTCCTGGCCCGTCCCGAGCCGGCCTGGACCCACACTCGACCTTGGACCTGTCTCGCCGCACTCACTATAC